GACAAGGCGCAAAAGAGCCGTCGATGAGTAGGCATACTAGAATTTGTACTAGTCAAGGGATAGGCATACATGGACATGCACTTGTGTAGATGTATACAGCCACGAGTCGTCGATTAGTAGGCATGATCTAGTACATGTACTAGTCGAGGAGTAGGCATACAGACAAATATTGGTCGATGGGTAGGCATAATGGAACATGGACTAGTCGAGGAGTAGGCATACAGACAAAGATTGGTCGATGTGTAGGCATAATATAAAATGTACTAGTCGAGGAGTAGGCACACAGACAGATTAGTCGATGTGTAGGCATAATGGAACATATACTAGTCGAAGAGTAGGCATATAGACAAAGACGAGCTCGAAAACAGGGCATAGCCATACACACACAGCATATATAGCAGTATCGTCAAGTCGTAACAGGTGCTCGGTATGAAGCTATATCGACATTGCAGATGTCAACATGTATGTAAATCTAGATCAGTTACACTTCACTGTAATCACAGGCTGATGATTATCATCGTAAGTATTTCGAGAGCTCTTCAGTCTCCACTATGTTCCTAATCAAGGACAGATGCATAAAACCTGTCCACAACTAAACACTGTAGAGCCTAATTTTATAACACTCTTGTTCAACGTTGTATATACACACAACATGGAGTGAAGAAACACAAACATAGGCCTATAGGGTTGAGCAATGCTTCATCGAAACGGCCTCTTCTGGAGCCTTGAGTGCAACACTTCTCACATATTGGTTTAAGCGCCGCTTTTACAGGGATCACTTTTCCGTGAGAGGAACAGACAAAAGATCGCTAATGAAAACCGTTATTGATTTCACCAGAAGCCGACAACATTTATCGAAGCGCTAGTGTAAAATGAAAGGTAATTCACACTTTGTATCCAGTGTGCATTGTCACTGAAAGTGTCTCATCGGCCACGGCTTTTGTTTGTGATCAACTTTCTGTCAGGCGGATGAAAGAGCCAGTCGAGATGAAAATGTACATTTGTTAAGGATGTCTGTTTCAATAACGCAAAAAAGGAAAACTCGGGTCACCACAGACTGCTACCAATATTCGTGAACGGACGAGGAAGTATAAACGTGAAGAAGTGAAAACGATGTGTCAAAAACTGTCGCTTCAGAAACAATTCCTCCGATAAACGCCATGTTAAACCGCCATCTTCTGTTTACATAAATAGAGACGGAAGTTGGATAATGCAGTCTTTCAATTCCATTTCTCAGCGGCTTTCAGCGCAGGAGATACGAGTTTGACCACAATCTGCCTCGTTTACAATAGATTCATTGATGGCTGCTCCTCAGATAAGGAAGTTTGGTTTCGGTCAAACGTTTACCCAACGAACTATTTTAAAACGCTACCGAACGGTGAATTTGTTGTCAAAGATATCTCTGAAAACTATTGATCACCTCGAGATGGCAGAAGATAAATGTTTTTGCGAGTGATAAAACGTATGAAGTGTCGGTATATATTCCTTCTTCGTTCACGGTGCGTAACAGTGGTGGTTACTGATTGGCAGAGCCGGCTGTCTCAGTGTTGTTTCGTACTCTGACATTATGAAAACAGTATTAATGAAAGTAAGGTGTTTAACAATATTTAAGAATTCAACACAAACAATAATGGCTAGCTTCATACACGGCGGTTGTATTCAACTGTGTCCTGACTATATTTGAATGTAATCCGCTTAAAACCTTTTGAAAGAAGATCTGTCAGATAATATGTGTTACATGTACATATAACTGGGGGTATTTTGCTTATTTATTTGCACTTGGCTAAAAGGGATTATTACCTAAGAACATATGTGATAAAACAGAAAAAATTGAGATCAAAGGCTTTAATCTTGTATGTTCATTGTTTAAGAGCACCTTTCACATCATGTCAACCTCAATAATGTCCTGATCAAATGATGTACAATGCTTCAACTGTGATTTTAACAAAATTCCATTTGCAGTAAAACATTCGAGTTGATGAACTTTGCGTCAAAATAGGTACTCAGTCAACACATTGCTATACATTTGAAAATGAACAGTAATTAAGTGCATTAAAATTAGCATCCTACTATTTACCAGAGTACCAAAGATCAAGGTAACTAGGGGAGGTAACCAAGGCATACCGATGTATATACCTCCTCTAAAAGCACGTTCAAAACACATTACCCATAGGTGATTTCATTTTAAGTCTCAGTCAGCAGCATTCATTTTCATTCTTGATTGTTTCATTTGAATGGAGATTACAAACACACAGAATACAATTGTCACCATATGGAGAAACTAGGCGTGTATGCAGATGCAGATATTACGCCATATACACCGTTGACTGAGTACACCTACTCCTAATCAAAATGGACTGTGGTTCAAATCAAGCATCAACTCGTGACGACGTAATCTCAGCAACAAATAAAGCAAAGGGATCGCTGTCAACACTATAAACAACAGTCCTTCAATCACACAATACATCGACGTGTTCTACATGACTCTTGCTTTCAAATGCAATACGTGATTCACATTTGATTCTGTCAAATAAATCGTTTGGCGCATGTTTTCTATTTGTCAGATGATTCAATTTAAGGACAGACAGAAACCCGAGAGAGTGGTGGCACCGGCAGTCATGGCGGACTCAGATTGATACACTCTCATTAGATGTCGCCATTGTCCCGCTTTAATGGAAGAGACGATTAAAAGGGTCTTTCAGCAACCCGAGAGCTATCAACACTGCTCATTACCCCGCAATAGGCAAGTCACACAGCTACTCTACCCATGTTTGCACATCATACAATTGTCGTTTGGTTGCACTAATGTGCTGTCGCCCCATTGTTGACACCGAAAACTAAACACGTGTTAGTGAACGGTAGATAAGTTGTATGGAGAATGACATGAGACTCTGTTAGTAATGGCAAGGTTCGACCATTGCTTTTTGTCTGTATTAGAGGTGAGTGATTGTCGTCTGCCCGATGTCGTCTGCCAGTAGGCAGGAGAAGCAAAGATGCCGCGTGTGCGAGGGCACAGGGAGGAAGCGCTCGACAGACACACAATGGAAGAAATGCAATTATATCGGACAATCGGTCATGGAAATTAGGTCCATGAATGTCTGATCACGTAGACTGACCTGGCTGGCGGGTTCAATTTCTGTTTGGATAACACGGGGAAGGGTGGATTACAGTTGTCTTATCAGACCAGATTGGGGTAAAGGTAGTTGACCACTGACTCTGTGAGGTTCATTAGTTTAACATTATCACATATTGTTTAACACGTTCAGGTTGGGCTTAACGATTCGATGCAGGGATTAAGCTGAAAAGAATTAACTCGATTCAGGTAAACGGCGTGACGGACAGATGCAATCGGTTGTGACACTCATCTGAATAAGAACACAATGATTTTACTGACAGCCGGATTTAAAGGTCCATCCCGTTTTGACCTTACGGCGAGGCGTTACATGAGAAAAACGTTGATCCCTAAAAATACCTGACATAGACCTGAAATTAAAGTATTTAAATAGTTTACTGCATTGGGTTTTGTTATGTTTCAGATTTGAGAATTCAGGAGTACTTAAACTAAATCTTAAGTAATTGTGGAGAGATTGAAAAGATACACGTGTTTTTCAGCTTGAAGGTTCCAAAATGTGATGTCTAGTTCTGGCAAACTTCAAAGATGTAATGTACATTCTATGCAAACTTTTGAAAGACGATCTTAGCAGGGAATTCTTATGAATATGACAATGGTTATGTCACTAACTTTTAATTGAATTTATCGTGTCTTTGTCTAGGTCTTCTTTAAAACTACTAAGGAGTGTTGTGAATGAAGTCTTCCCATTCAGATGACCAAAGTTTGGAAATATTTATCTACCTGTCCAAACTCCGCTTCACCCCTTCCTTCAATGGTGCAGGAATGTGGACATTCTCTATCATTGATTAAGTTATTACGATACCGTTTTTCTTCAATCAGGCAAAGCAAAATGAAGATGAAGGTAAACTGGAATGTGTCGGGTCGTTGCCGGAGGCACTTTGCTAATGAAGTGAGACCGTTCGCACCATGGCCGATAAAACACTGGTGAACGATGCCCTTTCACCTTGCTATTCTTACTATAATTAAGCAATTTTCTGATTTGAGAATCAAAGAGCACCATCGGGCCGAACATAATGGTTTGTTAGATCGCACAGCAGGTAGATTTACTTTAAGCCACCCAAGTGAGGTCGACCTGGAAGATGTAGAATTATCGAGGGAGCCTGTGTGCGTAATAAACAGTGCAGGAGGCCATGCTGTCAGCGGGATTAGATCTGGATGGGCCAATAAAGTGATTTATCAGACAAACGCCATGACAACTTGATAGCGAAATCAGCAAATTGTAAGTCGCGCTGTGGGCAGACGGGGTGTTATCTTATCTCGATTACCTCCCCTGGTTGTCCACATCCTGTCACCAGAGGTCAGTGTCATAATAGACAAAGGCTTGCGCATGTATAAAGACAGTAAATTTAAAAATAAAATCTTACTTTTGTCAATAACCTACACTACAATTTACAAAGCCTACTTTTGAATTTTTAAATGCATAGCCATACTGCTAAAATCATTAAGGACCACCCGATTCTTTAACATGACAATAAACTATTATTAGATTAACTTAAGTAATATCAAAGACGTAGTGCTTGTCCTTAACTTTAAGTATATTTGACAGAATGCGAGTTTAATTACTTTCATTATTGTTATATAACAGTTGCTAATTCAGTTTGTTCAATTCAGTTGAATCATGTATTCATTGTATAAGTTGGCTACTCAAAGTTTCTTTACTGGACGAATATCTCTAGATTCTGTACAAATGGAGCTGTGTATATAATTTGTTTTTAACTGTATTCCATCATAGGTAAAACTACTATGTATTACTATTATAGAGTCATATTTATGTATAATGCGTGTTGTAATGTGTGTGATGTGTAGATTGAAACTGTGGCACGTCTAAGCGGCAAAACATAAAATGATAAACGTAATGTTCCAATGCTTGAATAGACAATTTTATTGTCACAGAGATCTTTTGAAGAGGAAATGAGTAAGATGAATTAGGTACGTATACCGGTGCAGAACAAGGTGAGACATATATCCTGGGCGAAAACAGCCGTTCGTCTTCTGCACGATTCTAGTTATAATCAGAGCAAATTATCAGATATCATTAGGCGTGTAGGACCTTAATATAACTTCAGATTCTGCATAACATGACACATGACTTTCAAGAGTGGAATAAATACAAATAAGGAGATGAAGTATACATTCAGTCCAATGTCTGGTTGCTTGTGACTTTCTGCCTCGTAGAACACACCTTCAGTGTAGTAGAATGACATCTGTCCATATCAACATTTCAAACATTCGCATGGACCATTGTGCAGTCCGTGCACCCAAGGAAAGTCTTATGGAGGCCCGGGCTAGGCCTCAAGGCCTGAATATGACCTTAGACCTGTTGTCTAAGGTGAAGGTAAGGCACGATTGTGAAAAAGAGTGTGTCACCACCAACGCGTTTGTGGTTGCATTAGTGGATGACTGTAACCAGGCAACACGTTCATATTGTTCACATTGGGTACATTCAGATTCATTGAATTCATTGATCCCATTGAACTCATACTGTATGCACAACTCATGTTCATGTTCATATTGGAGTTGGACAAAGTGCTTGGATTTGCCATGGACGGATAGGAGCTCATAGAGTGGTTCATACCTAGCGAGTTTGCGTGGTTCAGTCCATTGTTTAGGGACATACCCATGCCATTGAGGTTGTGTTGCATGGACATATGGTCCTGTGATTTGACTAGTGGAGCATTGACACTTGTCCTTTGACATGGGATGCCATCTTTGACAAGGACAGGGACGGCTACACGACGTGGTGACGGGAGAGGGTTGAGGTCACTCAGACCCTTCTCTTGTCGCGCTCGCTTCAACTTATAACGGTGATTCTGGAACCATATTTTCACTTGAGTTGGCGTCAGTCTAATTATACTTGCAAGGTGTTCTCTTTCTGGCGCAGACAGGTAGCGCTGCTGGCGGAATCGCCTCTCCAGCTCATATGTCTGAGCCTTTGAAAATAACACTCGTCGTTTCCTTTTCTTAGGTGGATCTCCATTTCCGGTTGGACCGGAACCTGATTCATCATCATCTTTGCCCTTTTCATCATCACTGTCGGACTCTTCCGGTTCCTGCTTTAGTGAGTCTGCGCTCTTGCCAGGAGAGCTCACGTGACTGTCGCTATCGTGCTGTGACAGGTCTCCGTTGGAACTTGTCACGCTGTTGGCCGGTATTCCTAAAACAAATAACAACTTTTCAGAAATAGATAATCTTTTTGTTAACAGACCCCTTCAAGTTACTTTATACGTAATACTTTTTGTTTGAGGTCGGGGTGCACTTGGAGGGTTCTACTTCAACTTTGCCTTGTCTATGATAACAACGGGATGTACGTACAGAATATAAATTACCATGGCCAAGGGTAACCCAAAGGCCAGCGGGTACACGATATACATTTACTGGTGATAGTATACTCTCAACCGACGTGTTTGTTTTCTCTTAGGATAAATCGATAAAGTAGTGTCCACTGAGTCCAAATAATGACATTTACATTGTATAATTATTGGGTAATATATTTTGTTATATCTCATGACCTACACCAATCTCCTTTTAACTGTTTGGTAACATGACCCGTTTTTTATAAAAAATTTATTTATTCTTTATTTATTATTTTGGACCAAAAGCTGCTCATACATATCATTAAAACACACTATATCAACATTATTACCATTTTAAGAAAAGGGATAAACGGATCTGAGACTTTTGCGATTATAACTGGGAATGGGAAGTTCATATTTGTGAAGGTCATATTTATTTTGATGTTGTACATTTAAACGATAAATTAGTACACTTTTATCGTCACTCAGAAACAAAATCTCAAATAATTTGTCTAAGATATAATTGATACACCACTTTGATATAATCAATATTGTTCCACATATAGGTTCCTATAAATAGAACCTTAAAGTAAAATAAATATATATGTACATACATATAATTATATATTGTATACTGTCACTACAGTTGTCTTTCAAAGACGTAAAACATCATGTTCTTGTTGTCACTTGGTTATAGTAATTATTCACAGTTTTAACTTTTCGCACATTTGCAAATTGTATGTGTATAAATGGTTCTATATAACAGACAGAATATTACTACAATATGTAAAAGTCAATTAAGATAGATTTTGAAGATAAGGTATTGTATGAAATTTACATAGATATATGATCTCGTACCAACTTCAAAAACGCAAAAATCCCAACAGCAAAGATTTTAACATTGGCAAAGTCTTTAATTTTTACTGATATACCACAAGCCCGTCCCCACCGAGCTTAGAATGAACAAACACAAAATGAACACGGTTATTTTAATTTACGAAATAAACACAGGGTCCATTTGGGACATATTACTCTAATGTACCCTTGGAATCAATTCAGGACTATTGTAGAGTGAATCATAAAACACCTCGCTTACATATGTGTATACATTGAAGGACGTACATGAAATATGTTTTGAAAACATATTGTACTATAAATTGTGCGAAACATTTCATTGCGAAACCTTATTTGCAGACTTAAAGTCTATACATGTATATATATTCTATACATTGCACACACAGGTGCGCGTACACACACACTCTCTTTCAGGTATATTTATTATTTAAAACATTTATTACATGTATATTCCTATTGCGTTAACATATACTTCGAATTTGTCAGAATGCATAATACACGCACTTTGAGTTTAAAACTATTACGTTTTCTTCTCTTCTATTTAAGATACTATTGATTTGTGCAAATTATTCAATAATTTAATCATGTTATTTATCCTTTGACGTTGGTCTGATTTCCATAACAGCTAATACCATATGAAGTATATTTCCTGGTGACCCGTCTGTAATAATGCTGTTTCAGTAATGTTTTATAATGGAAATATATCAGTGTTTCAAGGTATATTTAATACATTTTAGTCTATGAAATATCTCAATATTTATGAAGCAATACACTATTAAATAAGTTCGGATTTCAATTACATCACTATGAAGACAGTTACAGAAATCCACTTAAAACAATTTCTTTAGATAACCATGTCTTGAACAATTGCAACTGAACCAGAGGTCTCACTTTGTGTTCATGGAAGCAATCGCAGATCAATAGTTAGTTATTGACAATATTGAGAAATTAAAATCAGCTTTACGGTGATGTACACATTCATAGCCATGTGTAATTTCACACTTTTACGATGAGTTATGTTCATTCGCGGGACAATATTGCTGTGTAATCTGTATTTTATCTGAAACCTCGATCCTAATTGATAATTGCCGTGCCCTTGGGGCGCCTATCGACCCGAAGACAATAGGGGACAGGAAGTGAGGTCCCTTAGATACCTTTAAGCGTGCGTAATTATAGCTTTTATCTGATAAATACAGCATGCATATCACACCGTTTTATTCTATTATGAAGTCGATACTATTTCTACATCACTACCATGTTGTACAGAGAATGTATGGCAACTTTCTGATAACTGTCATCAAACGAAGCACGTATTACCATGGAGGTAACTTTGTGAAATTACCTTAAATTTAAGTCCAAAGAAAGGACAAAAGTAATTTATTTGTAGATGTGTTACAAATACTGTGTTCACTGTTTTTGTGGTTTTTATCCAGTTGGTAAAGCGACAAAAAATGGAAAACATACAACAGACAAGCATTAGTTGAAGAAATGACCACGTAAAGATTTGTTTGTGTAAAGGGTATACACTGAATCATGTGAAACAGTTGTGTTATTTCCCTATAGAACTATAAGTTAAGATGTAGAGTCAAATTTGCATTCCATGTGCACTACTGTGTCGGTGTAGGTACTACAAGACATATACACAAAGTGGCATTGGGGAACCGCTGTATGGATTTCAATTATGGCGTGTACCTTTCATGTACATGAAATATCTACTTTAAAGAAATCCTGCATAGTGTACGGCAGTAAATAGCATTCCTAACACTGTATGATGAAAGTGTGTTCTTGAAGTGTTCTAAGCCTCACATTGGCTCTGGTGCCAAACTGAAGTGAATATCAAGTGACTTTAAGGTCAAACCAATGAGGCTCACACAAATCGAGTTGTCCCGTGAAATCACCTAGTACAATAGCAACATATCCCCCGAGGCATATAATTGTATCTTCATGTCAGCATATAGATAGCTGGGGGTCCACGCTGGATTGTGAGCCAGCCTTTGTGGGGAACCTTTCAAACTGTGGGACAAAACTTGACACTTGTGTTTCTTTTCATAAAAGCAATACTTATAGTTGACTTGTGAATGTTTGCCATTGAAACTCAAGCTCAGAGAGAGTTTCTACGCTATGATGAGCATGATTAATTTCAAATTTGGGAGTTAAGATGAAATTTACACGAATGTCAAGGTAAGGTGTTGTTTTGGTCAATCGATTTGCAATTTACCATTCTCAAGAGAAACATTTTCTATGTGTATGAAGTTCTTGTTCGTGTTTTGTGGCTGTATTGTTGATTAGTTTTCAATCAGCTTTTAAATAGAATATGTCAGTACATATACAACTACTGTAAAAGTAACAGATTAATTGAAATTATTATTATACTTAAATTATGATGACCATATATACCATAAATGAGACACAATAGACACATTCTGAACCAGTACTGTTGACTTATATGTACTATGTAGTTTGGTGAGGATATTGTTCTAGTAGCTTTATGTGCTGATGAACAGTTACATTTCATGATTTATGAACACTGGCACTTAATATAGAATCTGGCTCAGGTTCAGTTTTATTTGCCTGATACAAAACACACATCGAGTCTGCTGTGCAAACCTTTAAACACTAACATCCCATGCAATATCTCCAACCATCAAAGTATTCTATAATACCACTTCACATAACGAACAGCTACAACAAGCGTTATATTAACATTAGTAGGGCTGGGGTAATATAGCGTCTCACAATTTTCTTTGTTCACTTGCGGAAGTTACTCTTACTTCTCAAACATACACATGGGTAGAAGGAGAGTTACCTTTTATGTCGATCATAAAAATGTAGTTGAGATTAGAAGAAGCACATTAATTAGTATACAAAAAAACAAAGCAAATTGATGGAAACGATTGTTCTGATTCTTGTTTTTAGTAAGATTTTAACAGATTGGAGATTGTTGGTTAGTCAAACACGAAGAAAAACATTTCTATAACCATAATAAGTCTATACTAAAGCCAGAGTTCGTTGTAAGGTGCCAACTATATTATAAACATGTGTTTATGAATCACTTTCAAATGGTGACGGTACCTGATGCTCGGTAATAGGTGAAATGATATTTACACAAGATGATAATTTGCTTTAGAATTGGCGTACACATGTATTTATTATCATGTGATTATACCCATTATCATTTCTACATCTTAAAGTTAAATGGCGGATAGCGTTCCACGGAATCATATAATACTCTAAATTATTCTCATAAGACATGTGCACGATCTACTCAAAATTCTAAAAGCAAAACCGGATAAAGAAAATGTTACATTTCTCAAGAGGAAAAATGAAATCAATTTTTAGTTTAATACAAACATGCAAGAGAATGCCTTTTAGCATCAAACTGACACCATGCGGGAACACACGCCAAACTGCACGTGCACAGATTATTGACCCGTTAGGTGTGCAATCGAAATTAAGCGATAATCCAGTTAAAAGTCTGCGAGCAAATCGATGACCATTTAAAAGGATTTATAGTCTTACAATAACTTTATTGATGTCTGGTGTGAAATTTGTGCTCGCTTCGTAATAATCTATGACAGATCCGCTTTCAGAGATAATCATCTGTGTTTGGAAACGTGCTTCTGAATTTGCTATCAAACTAGTTATTTTCATACGCAGGTGCAAATCCGTTCCTTGATATCAAATATAGCATTTGTATCCGGATAAACAATGTAGAAGAGTGGCACTATGATTTTATACCACACGCTGATGCGTATGTCTTTATGGATAAAGGAACATATTTAAATACATGTAGAGGTGTGTTAAACTTTTCACTTTTCCTTAATTCGTCTATCTATTGATATTTTTGCAATGGCTTATTTGTGTTGTGTTATCTCTCAGCGGATATTCAAAACGCATATGCCGTCAAAACTAGAAATATTTCCTGAGGTAAATTCCTTTCATTAAATTTGAAGAATTAAAAACATCTTCCCTACACACTTACATGTTTACAACTTGAAGGTTCTTAAGGTGCGTTCTGTTTGACTTGGCCCGTGTAAAGTGATTCAAGAGCTTACCCTGTCTCAAGTGTTCTGTAAGATTTGATGGAGAGGTTAACTTACATCAAGGAGAGATACTACACTTACTTATCATAGTATCTGACTACAAATAGATCAAACTCTAGAGAAAATAGGTTAGGATAAATGTGTTCAATATGTCCAATTTACCTTTCTCGTACATTGGAGTTTTAATCCTCGATTCTTGCTGTGTTCTGTTTATTTCAAAGAGGTGTCAGGAATACATTATGATAGAAAAATAGTTTGTAACTTAAGTAAAATATGAACTTTAAGTAAAATTTGGAGAAACACATGTTAAGAAAGACACTTCGGGAAGCAAATGCTTTACTAAATTATTCGTGTCAAATTGAATTTTTTCATAGGGCTGTTTCTTTCATGTTTGAAACTTCAACTTTGTACTGTGTGAGTTCTAGTTTGTCGAGTGTTAAACAGTATTCTAGCAGTGTGACGGCAGTTTCGAAAGAGAACCTTTCAATTGAGCCTATTATATCCGCGTTGCTTTTCCACCCGATAAACACCCGGCCACGCAGTTAAAGATATTGACGGGTAGGAATATCAGTACAGAGGAGATAGGGGTAGATTCACGTACCTGTGTAGTGGATGTTTTCGTTTGTCTGAAGCCATCGGGTATATGGATTATCCGAATTGTCATAATATGCGGGTGGAACGCTGCTGAGGGTAGGAACCGAGGCTGTCGTGGTGAGGTCAAGACCCTCACCCTCCACCCTGGGGCTTGTACAGGCGGTGATCTTGCCCCCCTCAGGGAGATCTAGTAAGGCCGTCACGGAGAAATTGGCGGATTTGGCTGCATGCATATCTAGATCGCTCTCCATCTGCAATAATACGAGTTGTGTGTAAACGTCTTCTACAACGGCTGGAGTCGTTCTACCCGATCTACCATTACATAAAGGAACCAGTCAAGTGATATAGCCGGCTTCACAACACACTATCATATTTTGTTCTTCACACGGCGGTAGGCTCCTAGCCCTTCAACGATTAACCCCGCCCACTTAACCCAATCTCTGCGCCGTGATTGGTGGGGTTGGATATAAAGGCGTGTCCTTTCTTCCTGACTGACAGCTCTCAGGTGTGGTCCTGGCCAGCCAGGCATCAATAATTTTAAGTGAAATGAATGATTGAACTTGGAGAGATCAATGAATAGGCTTCTCTTCCAGGCAATTTCTCCACGAAGTCCTCTGGTCCATTTCTTTTCAGAAGTCATCGCATCGTGCGCGACACTGCAATCACTGTTTTGTCTCTTATAATCGACAGCCTTGCCCAAGCTTTACTTACATAATCTTTCAACACTTCAGAAATAGCTTAATTTTGATTTGCGAGGGATTATTTGACATGAGGAGTCGGGAAGGGTAGCCTGCTGCGGTGCTCATTCTGAGCTCTGAGTCAAGATCGCGAAACCAATGCAAGTCATTATCGTCAAGAGTTTGACAAGATGCTGAGGGTATAAGTACTCTAGGGGGGACACTTTCATAAACAAGCACCTCTTAAGATGCATATAACATTGCTGCTCCTTTCATAACCATTAGAAACAGCCATTATTTACCTCTAAAACATTTTAAACAAAAGAAATTAAAGGAGACCGGAGAAGCTAGAAAAATAATATTTATTGCTCATACGCGGTCTTAGATTCTGTTTTTCGGTTCTTCGAGAAGGCGTTCCGAACATATCAAGGAAGCAGGACTGTTTATTGTTTAAAATGTGTAGCCATTTAAGTTTTACTCTTTCCACTTTTAAACTGACTGAACACTTTCTTTTCCTCACGTTATTTAGAAAATTCAAAACAATGTGTCCGTGTTGCTGTATATTACAGGTTCACATGTATTCGGGAATGTAACTGATAGAATTAATATTTAATATATATTTCTAATTCTATAATTAACAGCAGATATTTTCAAAAAGTGAAATGCGTTTAGTAGAAAATTGGTGTAATTCACAGTACAGGGATGAATATGTCGTGACGGAAAATGTTCATGGTGTATACAACGACTTGGTTTAAGTGTGGTTAAAAGTACGCCTCTTACTGGATCATATATAACGGCTACACTGGAGAATATTCGTAAAATGATCGGATATTGTTCATGTTGCCATCTATTTCAGACCTGTATTTACTACTTTAAGTATTTTATATAATTATTGTATTTACACCTGTAAAGGTAGATCAACTCCCTGCTAGGCAAAGCTTTATGGTGTTTATTTGTTTGTGCGGACGTCAGTTCCACCGATCTCCTAGCCTGTATAAAAATATCAATTTTCTTCAAGTGCAGAAGGTAAAATTAACCATATTTCTGCCGCTCGGTAAGCCTACCTTCATGTGTGTCTTAGACACAAACAATTGACATTATACACATTAAGCATGTCCGGAGACATAGCGAAAATATTCCGTTAGAGAACTCAAACACGACACGATAAAGGCACATGAACCACTATTCATCTTTTCCCTGGTGTGTCATATATGTTAAAACTAATAACTCAGCTTTCATATTCTACTTCAAGTTTAGGAAATGTGTTTTGCATACCGATCAATTCCGTCTAAATTCTAACTTGATTTAATTTTCATTTCCATTGTCATTTATGGATCATGAAGAGTATTGGAACATAAATATTTCTCAAAGCTATATTTATGCAAACAACGCAAGTTGTGAGGAACACATTATCTTTATTGGTATCTGTTGTAACTCATCAGCGGTATGCATGATGCTTACATGTGCAGGTATGTAATATGCCATTGCTGCTCATTTCTGTTTCTATTTCTTTACTTTAAAACAATTTCATTAGTGTTTTTTAGTACACATACAGCAATGAAACTACAATCTAATAGATTTGATGCTGATACTATAAACAGACTTATTGATTAACACTTGCCAATGTCAAGATATGTTCTTTGGTAGGATTGCATCTGTAAATATATTGTTTTTGTTTGGAAAGATTTTGGAACATCAACATTAAGGGGGGAAGGGGGACTGGTGGGTCGAAGCATCCAATAATTACAATTCTTTTAACATAAGAAAGTTACAAATATGATCATTATTTAGGAACAGTCTATTATTTTTCGTAAGAACTTTTAACTAAAATCATAGTCCATTTTGCGATTGCAAATATATGATTTGCATGTATTTATCATGACTATTACATGGAGATGACACCAGGTGTTCATGCATGCCATGAAGAGGTGTATTGAGAAGACCGGTCTCTACCAGATCAGTATGCCAGTATGTTTGACGAGTTGATCGGGAAAGATACTACACTGCGCCATGTGTTGGTCTGAATCAATGGCGCGTCCATCACGTTGTAATACGATTCACTATCCACTTTTTACCATTCAACATATGCACCACGCTTTCTCCAATAATGAGGTTTGAGTTTCCAGAATCCAAAAGACATTGAAATGAATAGTAAACACAATAAACCGCGTTTAAAACACATCAAGTCTAGTGGCACATATTAAACATATTTGGAGGTATAGACACAAAAATACATTTATATAATCACTCTAACGTCTTTACATTTGAAATACCTTTGCTTTAGCTACGGAGCGGGTGGACTAGACACATTATCACATCCTTCCCCCCGAAAGCTGCATGTTGAGTGAATATGTACATGTGATCGTCATTTTTTTAAGTACCAGTATATTTAAAACTCCACAATAGAGAATATCCATTTCGACTATAGGAGTATGAAAGGTTAGTTGCAAAACAGTGATGTGATGAACAGGACAGTACGAATCAGTGATGGCATAATGTGCTCATGCCTTTATCTTCCCGTAGTATTCACACACGTTAACGTGTAAGTTCCAGTGTTGAATGAGGCGTGAAACCTCCCAGTAAAGGTCAAACTTTAGCCTCTGGTTGTCATGATATTAAATTAAAACACATGTATATTGTTCAATCTTATACGGAATCATTTCATACCTTAAAGGAAAATATGAGTTACAAATGTATTTTTCTATTACGCTTCTATTAGAACAATAATCTAATTTTGATTACACTTTCCACTGGTAAATATAGTTGAATATCTTACTGATAATTTTACAATAATAATAATTTTATTCTGAGTGTGTCAATGTCCGTTATAACCTAGATCTTTTGCTGGCCGAGACGCCTTAAGAGACAGTATTATCAGTTATTATAAAGAGGGTAAATATATAGTATCAATAAAACCAGACGATATAAGGGTTATTTGATGCGCTGGTTTAAATCAGAGTGTTATATTTATGTTATCACATAAATCATGGTCAGCATTATTGGCGGTATGAAGAGACTACTCTCGGAGAATGAGTAATTATAGCATTTAATCATAAGCAAATAAGATAGTCGATTATAGAGTTTCACATAAACAAATATATGCTTGACTCACAATATATTAAGTAAATGAAGTAGTGAGATCTTTAAGTACTCTATAAATGTCTCTAAGAGGTAATTTTGTCAATCTGGCTGCATAACCAACAACAGATAAACGCGAGCGAGTGTACGTACGGTTTCAAACAAACTCGTGTGTTTTTGAGAAACAAATGTCAATATTATATTTTCCGTGCAGAAAGGTACCTAGACAGGTGTATACGTGTTTTGGAGGCGAATAAGCCACCCTTGTCGATATACACATGTACAAGGCACATGGCACATGCTTGTTGGTGTTTGGGAATACTAATGTTCTGCGATGTGCTTTTCTATTCGTTGAGTCATTTCTCATGACAATACATTTTTGCACAAGCATGTCGTCGAATGAGGAGCTGTATATTAGACTCGACGACAATCCAGCATTGACAATGTTTCTTAAGGGGACAAAATACTACGCTCGATTTTGTGTTATGACAATACAACATTATTTGGATCTACGGCAGTATTGACTTTATTCAAGATATATATAAAGGATAGACTTGGTTATGTGTCGTGAATACTTTCTTGCACATGTATATGTTCGAGAGAAGTGGACATAGTAAACAGGACAGTGTATCATCCAGTTATTCAACATGAAACCTACAGGCGATTTGTTCATTTGTGTAATGGTAGCAATAATACATTCAAACGACTTGACTAAATGTTACAAAACCCTTTTCACAACCATAACGAATTTCGGCAGAGTCGACTGTACAATTCCGACTATATTTTGAGCATGTGTTAATGAATCAGTATCAAACAGTGATGATTCCCGGGGTCCACGAACAGGTGAGATTGTCCTCACAAACACAACGACCACTCAATTTGTCAACTAAAACGTCAAAGTGAAAAATAGCATCACACATCATTTTTTGTGATTGAGTTTTGTCCACCTCAGACATAGACACTTGGGAGAAAGGTTCACCCACAGGACGATTCCGGATAACCAACTACAACTAAGTCATCGGTTAACGCGAATATCGGTTGTGACGAATTCGTAATCCCAGGAGTTATCTGCCCACATGTTTTCTTAAAATATAAACCCCTAAAAGCTTCCAATCATGTCTAGAATATAGAGGATTTGTCAGGTAAACCACTGACTCAGCATGAGCGAACACCGGGTATCAGTACTTATTCCTAGTGAGTATCAGTACGTTTTCACATGCTAATCGTACAATGAACTCTGCTTTCGGTGGTGATTTCTTATGATTACATGAAGAGTTTTGTCGTAAATATTTATTTACCTTGAATATATTCCTAATCATACCATATATGTGTTTAGTATTGGGTTTATTATTTGTCCGACTAACATACAATAGTTTTTAATATAAAATGAGTTGCCAGTAACCTGTAATAGCCTGATGTAAAATGCGTTGCCAGTAACCTGTAATAGCCTGATATAAAATGAATTGCCAGTAACCTGTAATAGCCTGATGTAAAAT